GCTGAGCGCTTCCCTCCTGTCAGCCCCTCTCCCCATGCTGCGCCCGAGCGGTGCGGTCCGCCCTCATGGACGCACCGCCCGGGCAAAGCTACAGCCGCCTGAGCGCTCGGGCGGCTGCAGCATGGGGGGGCCGGCGCTCCTGGCGGCTGCCTAGTCCGCCTTACAGGTAGCGCCGGCCCTGCCTGCTATGTTAATAGCTTGCTAGACCCTGCAAGAGCCTCCTGTATGTGATTAAAGTTCAATTTAGAGATTGAGATACAATTATTTAAAGTAAATTACATCTGTTTGAAAGTGAAACCAGTTTTTTTTCATGCAGGCTCTGTCAATCATAGCCAGGGGAGGTGTGGCTAGGGCTGCATAAACAGAAACAAAGTGATTTAACTCCTAAATGACAGTGAATTGAGCAGTGAAATTGCAGGGGAATGATCTATACACTAAAACTGCTTTATTTAGCTAAAGTAATTTAGGTGACTATAGTGTTCCTTTAAACTGTTAATAGCTTTCCCTCCCTGCACCTTGCTTACCTACCCTGCTTTCTCTTCTGCAACTGTATCATCCAAAAAATGACCTACCTACTTTTCCTGTACATGAAATACATCCTTTCAATATGTCTTGTGTCACTTTAGAAAGAAAGATAGTTTGAGCAGGGCCCTCAACACCCTGTACTCGTGTGCGTCCAGCTCGTCTTGTTGCACATACATGTCTGTTCGTCCACCTATTTTTCAGCGTTACGGAATTTGTTGGTGCTCTATAAATAATAATATTAATAATATTAATAATGAATACATTAATTGTGGCTGCACATTTGCTCTTTATCAGAAAAATATGAGTCCACCCATATGGCCTTTTGGTGTAGTAAGTTATGACATCATTTTCTGGGGTACAACTTGGGAGGATGGATCAGAGAATGGGGGGTAACTAAAGTGAAATTAATGTTTTTTTTAGCAGATTTTAGTCTGGTTTTTTTTTTTCTTATAAAATCATGCTTTTTTTTTTTTTTACAATGTAATGTAATTTTCATGGCTATGTTTTTATTTGAATATTAGCAGTAGAAGAAAACATTTATTAGATAAAATAATATAACTATGTTCTCTCCTGACTCAAAGTGTTCTAACTACGTTAACAGGCCCACTGTAGGATGTCTGTTATTTGTAAAGAGGAGGTAAGTTCTCACCGTAGGGTTTCATATCCTATAGTTTTTCAATTTGCTTTGATATCACTGGAATTTGCATAATTAGGAATCGCTAGAACGTGTGTACAATCGGGAGCATTGCAATACTTCCTACACGTGCCGTTTAAATTGCAATGCATCATAAGATTATGTAGTATTGCAGCATGTGGTTACATGCTGCCACTAAATATTAATAGCCAGAGCTAAGAAATGTTACAGAACCCGGACTCTGACAAAAAGATGTCCTGACAAACATCAGATCCTGGTGAGCAAATCCAGAGAAAAAATGTCATTATGAAAATAATGCGAAAAACAGCTTACACCAGAGCCTACACCCAAAAAACTCAAGAACAAACTAGTCCTTAAATATTAAAAAAAAATGATAAATTACCAATTAACAGTGTGACTAATGATGTTATCAATTAAACCATTCATAAAAACAATTTAAAATTTACACACAATTACTTAAAGGAAGTCCAATCATAAAATAGGATCACACTTAAAATACTGTCATGTGATGGTTAAATAAAGGTGTATTCAAAGAACAAATTTAGTTAAATTAAAGTTAAACTAACTTCCCTCCTTCTTTACTCCAACACTGTACAGAAGGTTTTGTAGGTCAACTTACAGCACCAGCATTTTAGCAACTGAAGGTGAGAGCGGGAGGATTCGAAGCACACTACACCGCTTTCTAAAGGCTGCTACTACTACATAAACTATAAATGCTGGTTGCATTGTTGAAAAAATCGCTATCCCCAAAATGAACCCAAGAAAGAAAAAACTATTTGACGATAATACAGATACAACCTCACATAATATAATTTTTTTTTTTACATCTAAAACACAACCCTTGCCCACCATTATTGCATTATTTTACCATTTCTACACATATTTCCTCACATTTCCCCAATCTCTTAATCCCAAGAATAATTACTTCCACTCGTGTTCTCTGTTCCTCCCATTCATTTTTGGAGAAAAGCTGATTATTTTTGTTATCCCGTTTTGGATGACAAAACATTTGTATACGTTTTTAAGTCACACGTATGGCATATACATTTTTCAGAACAACGACTGAATAGAGATGATCTCTACAGCTGCACCTTTTAGCGATTAATCTGAGACAACTGACACAGAAAAATAAGTAGAGTAGAGATATTAAAAAAAGATGAGACATCGTCAATACTCGAAGGTAGTAATCAGGGCCGGACTGGGGATACAAAGCAGCCCTGGAAAAAAAATCTATGCCAACCCCATAAGTCATTGCGCCATGTATTGTCACATGTAATACGTACAGCTATGTCTTGCCACCCTAGATGACTGAGTAATATATAAATATATATATATATATATATATATAGACTCAATCATCTGGGGTGGCAAGACATAGCCCCTTACATATTATTGGTTAATATATATTTATTTTTTCTAATACAAGCTCACTCACTAGCAGGCACACACACACACTCTCTCACTAGCAGGCACACACACACACAAGCTCACTCACTAGGAGGCACACACACACACACACACACACAGACAAGCTCACTCACTAGCAGGCACACACACACACAGACAGGGCCAACGCCACTGTTAGGTGAACTAGGCATTCACCTAAGGCGCCAGCCTGCTGGGGGCACCCACTGAAATATTTCCTGGTGGTCTCCCCCTGTCTTTGGTCGCAGCGCTGGGCGAGTGGCTCTAGACCCGCCCCCCTCAGAAGCGGGCTGCTCCTCCAGGCACCCGAAGGTGGAGGCCCACAGAGGAGCCCTATCACAGTATGGCAGAGCAGGCACCTTCTTACCTTGATGACAGGTGCCTGCTGTGCCATCAAATCCCAGTGACCGGAGAAGGGAAGGAGAAGGCAGCGATGGAGGCTGTTCTTGCAGCCTCTCACTCCTCCCTTACGCACCCTCTTTGATGCCGGGAGCCGGAATATGACGTCAATTGGGTCCAGGCATACTAAACGGCAGGCGGGAGGAGTGAGGAGCTGCCCCACACTGGATCCCATGGAGGTGAGTGTTTGAGTGTTTGTCAGTGAGTGTGTCACTGAGTGTATGCCTGTGTGTGTGTATCAGTGAGTGTCTGTCTGTCTGTGTGTCTCTAAGTGAGTGTCTGTGTGTCTGTCAGTGAGTGTCTGTGTCTGTCAGTGAGTGTCTGTGTGTCTGTCTGTCTCTCTGTGAGTGAGTATATGTCTGTCAGTGAGTGTGTGTGTCTGTATGTCACTGAGGAAGTGTATGTCTGTCAGTGAGTGTATGTCAGTGAGTGTCTGTGTGAGTGTGTGTCAGTGAGTGAATGCCTGTCGGTGAATTTCTGTGTGTGTGTCAGTGAGTGAGTGTATGTCTGTCAGTGATTGTGTGTGTGAGTGTATGTCTGTCAGTAAGTGCCTGTGTGTGTGTGTCAGTGAGTGATAATATGCCTGTCAGAGTGTGTCTGTCTGTCTGTCATTGAGTGAGTGTATGTCTGTCAGTGTGTGTGTGTGTGTCAGTGAGTGAGTGTGTATGTCTGTCAGTGAGTGTTTGTGTGTGTGCATGTGTGTCTGTCAGTGAGTTTCTGTGTGTTTGTCAGTAAGTGAGTGTATGTGTGTCAGCGTGTGTGTCTGTCAGTGAGTGACATGAAGGGGCGGCAAAATGGATCTTTGCCTAGGACAGCAGAAATCCTTGCTAGCAGGCACACATACACACAGACAAGCTGACTCACTAGCAGGCACACACACACACACAGACAAGCTCACTCACTAGCAGGCACATACACACACACACAGACAAGCTCACTCATTAGCAGGCACACACACACAGAGACACTAGCAGGCACACACACAGACAAGCTCACTCACTAGCAGGCACACACACACACACACACACACAGACAAGCTCACTCACTAGCAGACACACACACACAGACAAGCTCACTCACTAGCAGGCACACACACACACATAGACAAGCTCACTCACTAGCAGGAACACACACACAGACAAGCTCACTCACTAGTAGGCACACACACACAGACAAGCTCACTCACTAGCAGGCACACACACACAGAGACAAGCACACTCACTAGAAGGCACACACACACACACAGACAAGCTCACGCACTAACAGTCACACACACACACACAGACAAGCTCACTCACTAGCAGACACACAAACACACACACACAATCACTGTCATGGCTGAAGCTTACCTGGCACTGGTAGGTGAAGTTTTCATTTTGTAGCCTCTTCCTTCCAGTGAGCACCGTGTGGGGGGCGGGGTGTACTATACTGAGGCGGAGCTATGCTCAGCAGGCGGGGCTTGTGTGCGGAGGCGGGGCATGAGGCCGAAATTAAGGTTAATTGTGCAGGGAGACTGAGAGGTCTCCCTCCGGCCGCAAGCAGCCTTATTGCGGCCGTACCAGCCCCAGCTAGTCCCTCTTTACTTCCCTGTCACAGTCCAAGGGGAAAATGATTTAAATGAAATTACTTAGGATGAACAGGGCTGTCAGAACAGCCCTAGGTGCCGCGGCCCACCGGGAAATTTCCCGATATCCCGGTGGGCCAGTCCGGCCTTGGTAGTAATACTCGAAGTAGGGATTCGGGAGTGTTGCTACTGCCTTCATCTCACTCCCAAAGGCAAAGCTGATCATCTCAAAGCTAATTCTGGATCTCTGGGAACTCTTTGTAAATGGCGACGACGACAGGATAAGGGAGCAGCTGTCTCCCCTACCCAATGTCCTCAACTAGGCCGTAGACGAGTCATCTTGAATAAATGGACACTTGCCCTGCAGCGAGACTCTCAAGTGAATGCACAAATTAGTGCTGTTATTATTATTATTATTATTATTTATATAGCGCCAACAAATTCTGCAGCGATGTAAAATGGACGGAATGACAAACACGTAATTGTAACTAGATGAGTTGGACGCACATGAACAGAGGGGTTGAGGGATGTGACCATATAATTTGTGAGCGTGGAGCAATTAGATACAGCCTTTACTGCTATGCCGTCAGCACAACATTGGCATAGCCGTAAAGTTTTACTGCTATGCCAATGTCATGCTGATGGCATAGCAGTAATAACCAGAAAAGGTAAACGCATATCGAGAATAACCATTCATCTTCACATTTATTAGCAGATTGGCTAGTACAATGTATAGGTTACATTTTATGCTGTTCCAGGCAACACCAAGCCCTGTTGGGCATTACTGCCAGTGCACTTTAAAGGGACACTATAGTCACCAGAACAACTACAGCTATTGTATTTGTTCTGGCAAGTAGAATCATTCCCTTTGGGCTTTATGCAGTAAACACTGTCTTTTCAGAGAAAATGCAGTGTTTAAATTACAGACTATGGATACTTCCACTGGCCATTCCACAGATGGCTGCTAGAGGTGCTTCCTGGGTCAGTGCTGCACAGTAAGCAGTACTGCCATTCAGCGTCTCCGCCCTTTGCATGGAGACACTGAACTTTCTTGATTCAATCCATCTCTATGAGGAGATGCAGATTGGCCAGGGCTGTGTTTGACTTGTGCTGGCTCTGCCCCTGATCTGCCTCCTTGACAATCTCAGCCAATCCTATAGGAAAGCATTGTGATTGGCTCAGAGAATCATTTCTGATGATGTCAGCCAAGCAGGCAGATCAGGGGCAGAGCCAGCGGTGGCAGACTTGAATACAAGTAAGATTTTAGTATATTTAGGGAGGCAAAGGGGAAACTGGGGGCTAGGTGGTGGTTTTAACACTATAGGGTTAGGAATACATTTTTGTGTTCCTGACCCTATAGTGTTCCTTTAATACTACCCAATTACATTATTCAACCAAGAGTGAAGAAATCCCTATCAGATGTGGCAGCAGACACAACCCCACAATAAAAATGAGAAATACCTGGCTTCTAACTGTACCAGAGGGTTCAAAGCATGAAGGGAACTAAGGCATTAATTGCTGAATTCTCTGATAAAGGAGGAATTTGGATTAAAAGGAATGTGTCTGTTGCACGATTTCAGAAATAATAATAAAAAAATAAAAAATAAAGATTCCTAAGGCAAAATAGAAAACAAAACTATTTACATAAGTATATTAGTTTGATTAGTTTTGTCGGTCACTGATATTTACAAATGAGCCATAAGGAGTTATCATCAAATATTTCCTTATCAGACATCTAGGTATGTTAACAGCAAAATGCAGAACGTAGACTTAAAACCATTTTTAGAATTACTAGCATTTTACAAAATGTAAAATATTTTGTCTTTGTTATCCTTCCACGGAATTCTAATTAATTGAAAATAGGATTCCAGAGCAGAACTTTTTGCCTAAAATTTGTAATTCAGCTTTCAATTCACTATAATTTGTCGTGCAGAGAATTAACCTCATTGCACCCAAAATGAAACCGTTGGAACGTTGGCAATGTACTTCTTCTGTGAATGCTGGTCCTCAATTCATGCATTACTGTAGTTTCTTCTGTTGGGGCTTAGTCTGTGCCCCCATGACTTTCAACAAGTGGAGCAGCAGAAAGTCTTTTGTATCTTCATTCTATATTTCATTGTACATTGAGCTTTTGAAGGCACATGGGGCAGCTAACAAAGATGGCTTTGATTGAGACTTAGAACATAGGCAACAGTTTCAGAGACAGTATACTAGTCATGTGTCAGACTGATCCATGCTGCATTGACCAGCTCATGAATGCTCATTGTAAGACGGAATGAATGCAGATCGCAACTTTCATTTTCCTCTTTTTTTCGGTTGCATGAATCTGACTTGTAGACATGACTTGATATTAAAGAATGTGCACCTCCCCAGTATCACACTTTTGGAGGGGCAGTTCCCATCTGTGTTAGAACTTCTAAAAATCTGGGTGTACAGCTATTAATACAGTGAAGCCCTGGAAAAAATTCTATACCAGCCCAATAATAAGTTGCGCCAGCATGGTGTGCTGATATATAGTCAAATCTGCTCCCTCCCTCAGTCCTCCTGTGCATACTGACAGCAGCTGCTGCCACTATTAGAGAGGGTGCGGCGGACCGGCTTAGCGGCACAACCATGATATGCGGCCGGCCCCCTATGTGTGACACCGGACTGACGTCACCTACATACGGCCAGTGGCCGCGATATTACTAAAAACGGCCAAATGGCTCCCTCAGTCCCTCTCTATGTGAGGGCAGAATTAGAGCGCCGCACAGCGCCAGGTGCCGTGGCCCACCAGGACATTTCCCAGTATCCCAGTGGGCTGGTCCAGTCCTGAGCTCTGGAACTCCTTTACCGAGATACCACACATCAACAACGTTTTTTGTTTTTTTAAGCTGAAATGATACAGTATTACTGGGGAGGTTGCAAGTTACATTCTAAGAGGTAATGTTTTAGTGTTTGCATGTTATGCAATGTTATTTTTTTACCTTAGAAATAGTGATGTCCCAAACGGTTCGCCTAACGGTTCGCCACGAACGGTTCGCCGCGGACTCATCATTGAGTAAACTTGACCCTGTACCTCACAGTCAGCAGACACATTCCAGCCAATCAGCAGCAGACCCTCCCTCCCAGGGCCTCCCACCTCCTGGATAGCATCAATTTTGAAGCTGCATTCTTAGTGAGCTGTCCAGGAGGTGGGAGGGTTTGGGAGGGAGGATCTGCTGCTGATTGGCTGGAATGTGTCTGGTGACTGTGAGGTACAGGGTCAAATTTTACTCAATGATGAGTCCGTGGCGAACCGTTCGTGGCGAACCGTTCGGCAAACCGTTCGGCGAACCGTTCCGGACATCACTACTTAGAAATAAAAATCTAATCTTTTGAAAAAATATGCTAAATTAATTCTTTCAGCTTATTTAAGAAGCCCAACTCCCTCTTTGAATGCAAATAAATATGACATTTCTAAAAATCTAAGTAAATGAGTTTATCTGAAAATTGCACAGAAAATATCAAACAAAGAAGTGTGACATCTATTTCAATATATCCACTTTTGTGAGAGAAGGGAAGGGGGGGTGGTTGTCTTTTACTTGCTGGAATGACAGCAAATATCTCAATCTATATTAATGAATGTAACCCTATATACATGAGCTTATAAATAAAGAATTTATTTCCTAAAGGTTTCCTAGTTCTTAAACTCTTTTTATTTGATCTTAATTTTGTTTGCTTATTATCACAGCATATATATTTGTTAGGATGCTCGATATTCTAACTCAGGTGCCAACTATACCCTACTATATTTATTTAATGCTATAAAATGTTTGAGTGAAAAAAAACATGAAGCTAAATAGGCCATGACAAGGGGTGATCGATCCTTTGTCATCCCCCCAAGTTACATTAATTTACGTGCGTATAGGATTATTAACATGAAATATTGGTGAGGGTATCATAGTTCTGGTAAGTGGGGGATGCCCCATAGAGGCAGGGGACATACCCATATATTTTGTTGCAATTAAAAGACATCTATTGGCAATGACTTATGATTAATGAGACACTGTAGGCACCCAGACCCAGACCAGTTCATTGAAGTGGTCTGTGTACAGAGTCCCTATTACCCTTAGTACTGCAATGTTAAACATTGCAGTTCCAGAGAAACTGAAATGTTTACATTGCAGCACTAAGTCAGTCTCTAGTGGCTGTCTACCAGACAGTCACTAGACAGCTTCCTGGATTGAAATGAACCTTATTTGACACTGGTATGTGACAGTGGACATCCTGTGCATGAGGACCTCATGAGTCAGATTTTTTCCTCACCGAAAAACATTGATTCAATGCTTTCCTAGGTGGAGGTGTAATGCATTAGCAGAATTTGCGGGATTTGCCACCCATGCGCATTAGAGCCCACTCATCGCAGGACTGAGGAGGAGGAGCTTTGGCCAAGCGCCGAGGGCCATTGGTGCTGGGAAAAGGTAAGTATATAAGGAATTATTATTATTATAAGGAAGGGAGTGGGGAGGCCTGGGGAGCGATAGTGCCAGCAACACAGCTTTGTATTCCTGGCACTATAGTATCCCTTTAGGGTGTCTTAGAAAACAAACAAACAAAAAAAAAGTACTAATGTGAGTATTCAAGGTGAATTCAAAGTACATTTAAAATTTAAGGGCAAAATAACTGAACAGGAAAAAAATCAGCTATGCTTTGAGTTCAACTACTCTGGCCTTAAATGTGAAAATCACTTTAAAGTCTAATTTTGCTGAATAACCTTGGTTATGTCTACGACTATTAGATCTGCCATCTCATGTTCCCCTTTTACTACTGGCTGTAGAAGACCCCTCAGACATGCTTAGTCTGCTCTAACAAGATTCCTGATGTAATCTATTAAGTTTGTCGTGGGCTGTCAAATGCTGGACGCCCTAGAAGACAGGCCTGTTTATTGTCCAGTCCTCTGGGACTATTATTGATTAACAACACCTGGAGGTGGAGATTGACTTCCTTAAAGTGGATGTTTTTTACTTGCAAAGTGGTTGAGTACCTGGGGTTAAAGGCCACCTATAATGCCCAAACATTATTTAGCTCTTTAAAGAAATCTTTCAACTGAATCTACACATAGTGCTAGCAGATTTGATAGCAAATGTATAGATTGAGAGAAAACCCTGTTTAAAAATTGTTTTTTTCTCCCACCTGTCAATCAATTAAATTCTTATTGAATTCCTATACTATTGCTGGCTAGTATGTTGGGCCAAACATATTAGCCAGAGCTAGTACAGGAACCTACTGCCATGACTCCACTCCATTCAAACGTTATAGAGGAGGTATGCTGTGCTTGGGAAAATGTCCCCAAGCAGAGCAAATCAGTAAACAGCAGAGGAGGAACATTGTCGTACTGGTGGTGGGTGTTACACAAGTGTACTGAGATTGTGGCTGGTAAGTAGAGGCCCAGTTGTGGTTACAGGTTCCTTTAAGTGGGCAGTACCCAAAATGCATGGGGTCTTAGGTCAAATTCAAAAGGAAGAAACTAGCTGCCCACCATCTCTAAACTTCACCAACTGCCACGTGTCATTGGTGATGTTCCACAGCAATACAACTCGGCATAATGTAATGTGCAGCGTTAATTCATGTGTCATCTCACTTTTTTTCTTTTCAATGGTGAAAAATACTTATTTATCCAGATAAAAAAACACATAGACAAATCCAGTCACATTTTGGGAAAAGTGTGCTATAATTCCAGCAGTATGGGGCCAACTCAGTTATTTCCTACCACATGGTATTTCTTCTAAATTAGAGAAAGTTTAGCTAGGACACAGTTTTTAAAAAACTAAATAACACAGTATACACTGCTATACACTGAAGTAATCATCAATGGGATGTTCCTGATATTTCCATGGTTTCCATGGTAATTGCCCCACTTTTAGAACTTTGACACACTTTTCAGAACATGACACTGAAAAATTTAGGAATAGGCCATTCAACTGGTTCGGGACATACAATTCTCCCACAGTGAAACATATCGGGTGGAACAGTTATCTCCACTTTCAATCATGTGTGATTGACTTTCTTTTATTACATTCGTGATATTTTTTTGTAAATTGCGATGACTCTGCAGCGCCCTCTGTCTGTCAATCAGATATGTACTTATTCGCCTAATTTGTGCATATTATGAAGTGTTTAGCAAACTATGACATTGCTAGTACAGTATACTAAGCAGTTACTGAAGCTTTTTATGTATGTTTACATATAAATGCTTTTCACCACATTTTAAGGGCAAGTCACTAATGGCTAGTCCTTGTTCAAAATAAAGTATTGGGTAGTTTTTCACTTGTCAAGGTGTTTGGTCTCTGTAACTGCGATAATCTCGCAAACAACTACAAGTGATAATTTGGAGGTGAGATACTGATGATAACCGTCAACAACACCAAATAGGTCAACAGGATAGTACGGTGCTGCTAATAATGAGAAGATGTACTCCACTGGGTAGAAAATAGGAAGCGTCCTACCTTCATGGAAGCTCCCAGACTGGCCAATGAGTAAACAGCTGCTCCCATTTAGACGTATAGGAATAAAAACAACTACAATTCGGAGGTCTAACTTTTGATACTTCTTGTACTACATCTGTGCTACCTCACCTGCTTCTGCCTTGCCCTAGCTGTCTTATTCTTGCAGATTACAGTAGACAAACTAGTTAACAATATATCTTGCCCTTTTAAATGGGCAAGCCTGCTTACAGTGGCAGCTTATTGCAGAGTCTGGTTGGCACCATTCACCAAGTATTAATTTAGAACACCTTAAGAAATCTGAAAAAGTTTGGTTTGGGGCGGTGGAGCCTGACAGCCGTGCTGACTGGTCGCACATCTCGAGAGCTCCAAGGCACAAAGCTTTAAAAAAGCCTATATCGCTTGTTTTAAGACTGAATTTTACACCACTGAATTATCCCTGAAACAGGGGAAACCTCGATGGTGGAACTATCTGTGATTTTGACCGAAATCGGCAGCTTAATTTGGGAGCTGACTTGCGGCCTACACGAGGCCTACTCATTACAAACGCGGGGGACGCGGCCGATCCCTCAACATGCCGTTATACACAACTCATGAAGTCTCTCCTTTCATCTCCCCCCCGCCTGCCGATGAGGGATATCCCGGTACCTTCTACTCCAGCTGCAGGGAAAAGTTATCAGCACACTCACGCTAGAAGCAGACTGCCAGCCACGACCAGCAACAACACCAGCACGCGTAGCATGGTGGAGGCCATGTGCCCCAGTGATCGGCAGGAAATGTGATCTGGAGCTCTGTGGAGCTTAGACAGCCTCTTCGAAGAATTTTGGCAGAAGCTGCACCTCAGGCTCCTCATCCCTGTCTTACAGGTCCCCCAGCACACTTACCTGTGCGACCTTTCTGCCACCTCTGGGCGCGACACAGGGTCACCAGCCCTCCAAAGGCGCAGACCTGACGGCACACATCAAGATGGCCAAAATCAAGACGGGCTGGGATGAAGCCTGCTCTGAAGCTGAGAAAGGGGAGACCTGGGGGCTGAGGCATATAGAGGGAATCACAGAGGCTGCTCAGGCACCGTCTCCATATGGACGACTTTCCTAACGCTGAACCATTGGAAATGCACCAACATGCGGGGCTGTTCTACCAGGAGCTGGTATAGGCTGAATTGAACCCATGCTGTCTTGCCTTACTTCCCCTCATACCTAGCCTAGTTACATTGCATTGCTGAAACTCTATTACTCTGTCTGTTTCAACATTTAGCCCTTTATTCTAATTTTCCTTTTCTAATATACATCCTGACTGGTTACATCACTGATAAGCATTGGTCTCAAGCTTTGTCTAAACATACTACCTAGCCTACAAAGCAAAAAAGTGCTGGTGTGCAGACTTTGTAAAAATACACCTCTGATGTGATAACCACAATCTCCCACCACTCCAATGTGTACAGGGTGTATTAACAAACAATTATAATGTGATATACCTTTGTTTAACACTTTAATCTCATTTTCTTTCAAAGGATATGTAGAGATATTGTTAATTGTTATGGGGATCACCGGTTGTATCTTTTTTCTTTTCTTTTGTTTTCCTCCTCTGCATGCCCGAAACTTATTCTCCTCGTTCTTTTTATAGGAAACTCTTCCCTCCTCGGTTCTTTCTCTAAAAAATTCCTTTCTGTATCCACATCCCTTAAAATATCAAACCGGTTACTAAAATCATTTCTATATTGGATGTCCTTTTTAGGTACCCTATCTTCCACCCTATCTCTATAGGGGGATCCCTTCCTATCATATTGTCGCTTGTTTCTATTTCTTACTTGAATCCATTCTTCTCTCTTATTTGTATTTTCCTTTTGTTCATCAATATTTCTATAAGGTATTCTGGATCTCTGTTTAGGAGTTCTGGATCTCTGTTCTGGATCTCTGTTTTAGGTTTAAAATTTGCACCTACTAAGCTCTTGAACTCTTTTTCGGCATATATAGATGTGATGAAATACGGGAGAAGATTGTCTATTAAAAAGTTTTTTTTAAATAACAGTTTTAATACAATTCACAAGGTTGAGGATGAAGATGGTTTTAAGCATAAATCCCTTCAGAATAGATTTAATTTTCATCCTAGCCACCCGAGACAAGGTAGTATAGAAGCCTTTGAGAAAGCAGTTCTTAACGATTTTAAGAAAATAAATATAAATAAAAATAATTTCAATTTTACCTTTGAAGAAAGGATGGCTCTTAAAGGACTCAAAGAAAATTATCAAATTGTCATCAAACCCGCAGATAAGGGCAGTAGTTGGGTGATAATGGATTCCAACAAGTATGTAGCGGAATGCAATAGACAGCTGGAGGATAATGAGGTATATACCAAATTGAGTGGAGACCCTTTGGGTAATATGAGGAGATCCTTGACTGAACTTCTGGACAAGGGAAAACTAGAAGGTATATTAACATCTAAAGAGTATGATTTTTTGGATATCAAATCACCCAAAACACCGGTTTTCTATATCCTGCCGAAGGTCCACAAGGATCTCCACAACCCACCTGGGAGACCCATTGTCTCCGGGATAGGGTCTATCTCTAATAATCTTTCAAAATATATTGGCTCCTTCCTCCAACCAATAGTAATGAAAACCAAATCCTTTCTGAAAGCGAACCGGCTGACTACAGAGTGGAAGAGGTGATTGTACACCGAACACCCTGATTACTCAGAGGACTGGTGAGCAGATTGTGGATGCTGTAAGTTTCCTGCATATGGTTTTAAGAATGTGGAAGAAAGTTTTTGCACTTACCTGCTGTCCGGGTCGTTTGAATGTCATTTGGATCCCACGAGCTCCAGGGGCTGATCCTCCCAGGGCGCTTTAGCTTGGAGTGGGGCTCTGACCACTCCTGACTTGTGAGTGTTACATCCAGAAGAATCATTTGTTTATTCACTTGCACTTATCTTTTTGATACCCTATATGGACTTATATTTATTTGCGAGTATGTTAGGTTTTAATACTCTGCGGTTTGTGGTATATCACATTATAATTGTTTGTTAATACACCCTGTGCACATTGGAGTGGTGGGAGATTGTGGTCATCACATCAGGGGTGTGTTTTTACAAAGTCTGCGCACCAGCACTTTTTTGCTTTGTATGACAGTTTTTAACCTAATTACCAGTGTTTTATGTTTGTTGCTGCAATCTGATTAGGAACTGTATTACTTATTGTAATATTTGCGCCATCTGATTTATATAGATATTTTATATTACCTAGCCTGCTCTTATTTTCTTAAAATGTGCGGATGGCATAAATGCCATATACTGTTTTACTGTGTCTATTATTTTGAATGCTTATTTCAGCTATTGTGGCATTGTAAGCATACATGTTACTCCTGCACTTTAAAAATAAAGAATGAAAAAAAAAAGTTTGGTTTTATCTAGCAGTAGTACAATAAGTAAAGTTAATCAAAACTAGTATTAACCGATATGAAAAAAGATCTACTATATTTTTTCCATTGTTTGTCCCAGCACATTTGTTTACAAGGTAGGATATACTGCATTTGTATTACGTTTGGGAATGTCAATTTGGGAGAACCCCCAGTGGGTGGGTTAAAACAAGCTATTCTAGATAGAGTTTTGGGTAACTTGGAGGCCAAGGAAACACCTTGAACTATTTGTCATGTTCCTCAAACCATTCCTGAACATTTTTTCAGTGTAGCAGGTTGCATAATTCTCCAGAAAGAGGCCACCGCATCCAGGAAACACCATTGCCATGAAGGGGTGTACATGGTCTTTAACATTCTCTAGGTAGGTGGTACATGTCAAAATAAACTCTACATGAATGCCAGGACCCAAGGTTTCCAAGCAGAACATTATCCAGAGCATAACACTGCCTCCACTGGCCCGTCTACTTCCCATAGTGCATCCTAATGCCATCTCTTCCCCATGCAAGCGATGCACATGCACCCAGCCATCCACCTTAACTAAAAGAAAACTTGATCATCAGACCAGGCAACCTTCTTCCCCTGCTCCATGCTCCAGTCCCGACGCTCACATCCCCGTCAGCAGTGGACAGGGGCCATCATGGGGACAGACATCCCCATATGCAGCAATCAATGATGCACTGTGTGTTCTGACATTACGTTTTTTAACGGTTTAAGGCTACGCTAGCCTTCCCTACATGCAACAATGAGCTATGGACCCTGACAATGTTTCACCGGTTGTCCTTGCTTGCACGCACCACTTTTGGTAGGCACTAACCACTGCATACTGGGAACACCCCACAAGTCTTGTTGTTTTGGAGATGCTCTGACCCAGTCGTCTAGCCATCACTATTTGGTCATTGTCAAAGTCACTCAGATCGTTTCGCTTGCCCATTCTTCCTGCTTTCAACACATACAAATTGAAGTACTGACTGTTCACTTGCTGCCCAATATATCCCGCCTCTTGACAAGTGCCATTGTAACAATATAATCAATGCTATTCACTTCACTTGTCAGTAGTTTCAAAATTGTGGCTGATCATGTGTATGTAAAGTCTGTGGCTGATCATGTGTATGTAAAATATGCTAGATATGTTTAATTCTCCTAGAATGACTTGTAAAAGGCTTGTGAGGAGCATAAACATTGCGTCAGGGTTTTTGTAAGACAATAAATTCCTCTTTAATGGTCCTACAGTGCCTGATTGCCTGAAATTTTTAATTCATTTCTAATTTCAGTTCTGACTAATATACGCTATGGTCAGAGTAATAGCTAAGCGAGTTCTCACCATATTGTAATTAAAGACAAAAAAACTGAAGGCAAAAGAGATGACACAAAACCAAAATAAAAATTGAAAACATCACATCCAGACAGTATATTAGAGAGGGGAAGTACTTAAAGACCCTCTACCCACTTCCATAAATTATGATGAAATCGTTAATTAGCTTTCTTGCATAAACAGCACTATACGAATATCACTCGTCTTCCTGATTTACAAAATAATTTATTAAAATAGCTATCTTGTTGTAATTCTGCTAGGAAAGCATAGGCAGGCATATTATTGCTGTAATTTGCCAATTTGGTAATATATCAGGAAATTGGCAGGAACGACTGTTCATTTATGTAGGTAATTAAGCCCAACATATTTTTGAGTCTAATTTGGCTTTTATTACTGCGATTTTATTATTCTGCACATTTCCCTTGGATTCATTTTTCTTTGCCTACCTGTTTATTTTTTTCATCCTTGATTAATATAGATTCAAAGCTGAACCAGCCTTTTTTTTTTTACAAAGCAGTAAAGTAAAAAAGCAACAGCTTCCCCCCCCGCCACCCAAAATCTAATTATACGCCTCAATCTGGAAAGGAATATCTGAAGAAAGTGTAAATCATTAGTAAATGTCATGCTGATATATTTTTGTTTACCTTTGAAATTCTTTTTTTTTTCAGATCGTTTTGGAATTTCTTTAACTTGCTAAAAGTGAAACCCCTGCCATGCCCAAAAGCTCCGTAACTCTATAGATGAATATCTTAGGTCTCACACACTCCCCACCCTGACAACGGAAGATGCAGATCAGTTAGATGAGCCCATCACTCCAGAGGAGTTGGCACTCGCGATTAAAAACACCAAACCAGGGAGAAGCCCGGGCCCAGACGGTTTACCCATTAAATACTATAAGAGGTTTGCAGAAACTTTGTATCCCCCACTGCTAGCGATGTTCAACGCTATCAGAGAGGGACACAACATCCCCAAACAGACACTAACGGCACATATCACCATACTTCCTAAAGAAGGCAAAGATCGAGAGCACTGCGGGAGCTATCGACCGATATCCCTCATAAATAATGACCTCAAGTTATTGGCAAAAATCCTGGCAACCAGACTTCAGACACACGTACCTAGGCTGGTCCACGCAGATCAGGTGGGATTTGTGATGGGTCGGGAGGCCAGAGACAATACCATTCGAGCGCTCACACTCATGCACAGGAAGAAAGGGGATAACACGGGCCTTCTCCTGCTGTCTACAGACGCGGAGAAGGCCTTCGACAGGGTCTGTTGGGAATATATGTTCCAGACACTGGCTCACATGGGCATGGGTACACACCTTCAGGGATGGATTAGAGCCCTCTACTCCCAGCCGACGGCACACGTTATAGTCAACGGAGCACTTACGGAGGCCTTCCCAATCTATAACGGCACACGTCAGGGTTGTCCCCTATCCCCCTTGTTGTTTGTCCTGGCCCTGGAGCCCTTCCTGCAGACCATTAGATGCCACCCGGACATTCAGGGAATCAACACAGGAGACACTCAACACAAAATAGCTGCATATGCGGACGACCTCTTGTTTTTTATAACCTATCCCGAGGTCTCCCTACCTAATCTAGTACAGGCATTCCAGAGATTCGGAGAGCTATCTGGTCTGAAAATCAACTATTCCAAATCCTATATTCTAAATATAAGCATCCCTACGCAGAGAGCCACCCATCTCCAACAGAGTCATGCCTTCCAATGGGCTACGGATAAAATACGCTATTTAGGCACATGGCTAACGGTTAAAGCAGCGAACCTATACACGTCCAACTTCGCCCCGATGCTCCTCCAGTTTCAGAAAGACATGGGTAAGTGGGCCTTTCCACACATCTCCTGGCTGGGTAGAGTGCAAGTGGTGAAGATGAATTTTCTGCCAAGACTACTTTATCTTTTCCAAGCTTTGCCCATAGCAATCCCGACTTCCTTTTTCACAACACTTAGGAGGGCAATGGGGGCCTACGTATGGGCTGGGAGGAGACCCAGACTGAAGTTCTCACTCCTTACAAAACCCAAAGACAAAGGGGGCCTAGCCCTACCGGACTTTTCGCTATACTACAAGGCGTGTCACCTACAACGCGTTGTCGAATGGTCCAAAACGGGGGTCACCAAGCTGTGGAAAACGGCGGAGGAGAGGGAGGCGGGTATTCCCGCCGCCCTTCTTCCATGGCTCCCTACGAGAGGGGACGGGGGGGAGAATCATTACTCCACTTACACCAAAGCGACACTGTCGGTGTGGCGCAGAAGCATAGGTAAACACGCCCTCTCCACGTACCCATCCCCTTTGCTGCCCCTCACATACAACAAGGACTTCCTGCCGGATTGGACCCACCGGCCCTCCGAGCCCTGGTGGATGATCCATTGCCACGACTGAGACACGTATGCAACAGCCGAGGACTGACAGAATTAACAGAGCTGAGCGGGGAGAGCCCCCGGCCTTTCCTAACACAATTTAGATATGAACAACTCCGCAGCTACATAAGGCTTCTCCCGCAAGCGGCGGTTCTTGGTAGAGACCTCACTGCCTTTGAAAGGTTATGCACAGACCCGGACCCATTACCACATGGAGTGGCACACATATACTCCCTCCTACACTCACAGACCCCGTGGGAAGTGCCAAAATTCATGGGAAAATGGGAGGAGGCCCTGAACCAAACATTCAGCTCACAGGAATGGGAAAAAATATGCACTATCGTACACCATTGTTCTGTGTTCAGCAAAAGCCAAGAAACGGCATACAAACTGCTAGCACAGTGGTATCGCACACCTGACACGATACACCACATACACGCAAACGAGACCCGCCTTTGTTGGAGATGCGACAAGGCAATGGGAACACACATACACATATGGTGGGAATGTGAATTAATACAACCCTTCTGGCGCACCATCCACAAAATAATATCCAGATTCTCAGATAACCCACCACCAAGGGAACCAGCAGCCATGCTACTCCACCACACGACAACCCCTACATCTAAATACAAAAAATCGCTCACGATTCGGATTCTTAACATAGCAAAACAGACCATTCCACAGTTCTGGAAGAAAAAAGAGACCCCGTCCATACACAAATGGTTCACCCAAATGGAAGACTTAAGAGCCATAGAAGAGCTTATCATGAATGCGGCCGGACCGCAACAACAGACTTACCTTGACATATGGACACACTGGATTCTGACATCTACAAAACCGGACTTCCAAACACTAATACAGGACAGATCAATGGACAACACACGCTTGACTGACAAAGAGGCAGAAGACTAACCCAATCCCTCCTTCCTCAAATTTACCTACCTTCCCCGCCCCCGAGGCACTAGACGCACGCAAAGAGGCGAGGCGCAGGCCCGCGAAAGAGACAACAGTAGACTGACTAAGTAAATACACTTAAAAACCCCAGATGCGTAACAGGGAAGTAAAACACATAAGCCGAACAGGCATCAGCAGACTAGGGTCAGCAACGATGACTGATACCGCAGGGTCCCATATCCTCTAAGCACACAGAATGCAATAGGGCACAATATATAGAGGGACTCAAGCGAGACAATTGCAATATTTGATAGAAGCTGAACATATAGATAGCTTTGTAAAAACAACAATGTTACTCAATTAAAGGGATGAAGAATGTATAAAGACAGGGACCTGCGAGTCCGACAACATAATGGGCCTGCGTGCCCGAAAGAATATGTGTTTTCAAAATATATTTTGATATGTAAGACAGTATGGAGATCTGCGAATCTCGAGTTAATCCAATATTATATCGATATTAAATGTAAAAATAAATATTTACAAAAAAAAAAAGTGAAACCCCTGTTAAAACTGTATGTCAATGACTGCACTTTCAGACGTGCGTACCTCTCGATAGAACAGACTCAAGGTGGTAATTTTATGATTTAGAGACCCCAAAGGTCTCAGTTAATTATTTTGCATTACATCATTAAATCATTGCAA